TACTCAGCAATAAAAAAGAATAAGATCATGGCATTTGCAGGGAAATGGATGGCATTAGAGAAGATTATGCTAAGTGAAGTTAGCCAATTCCTAAAAAACAAATGCTGAATGTCTTCTCTGATATAAGGGGGGTGACTCAAAATGGGGTTGGGAGGGAGAGCAAGGGAGGAAGATTACCTCTAGATAGGGAATAGGGGTGGAAGAGAAAGGAAGAAAGAAGGGGAATAGCATGGATGGTGAAAGGAGACCCTCATCATTATACAAAATACATGTATGAAGATGTGAATTTGGGTCAACATACCTTATATACAATCAGAGATATGATAAATTGTGGTATAAAGGTGTATTAGAATTGTAATGCAAAAATAATAATTAGAGAGCTCATGTATAATGGCATAATTTGGAGTGGACATACTTTATATACAGAGTTATGAAAAATGGTGTTGTAAATGGATAATTATAATAGTAATGCATTCCACTATTGTCATGTATGTAAGAAATAAAAAAAGAAATAAACAAATAAAATTTTAAAATATTTAAAAAAGAGAAAATGTATAGTTCTATGAACCTCTTTCCTGCTACTTAGCATTATGAAATACAGCTGTCCCTCAATATCTTCAGGGGATTGATTCCAGGATCCTCCAAAGATACTCAAATCCTCAAGTCCCTTATATAAAATGRCAGAATATTTGCATAACCTTGCACACACTCCATACTTAAAATAATCTCTAGATTGCTTATAATTCTTTTTTTTCYTTTTTGGCACTGATGATTGAACCCACAAGCACTTAACCATTGAACTACATCCCCAGTCCTTTCTAATATTTTTATTTTGAGATGGGTCTTACTAAATTGCTTAGGGCCTTGCTAAGTTGCTGAGGCTAACCTGGAACTTGCAATCTTCCTGCCTCAGTCTCCTCAATTGCTGGGATTACAGGAATGTGCCACTATGTCTGGCTAGATTGCTTATAATTCTTAATATAATGTAAATGCTATGTAAATACTTGTTAATTATTTAGCAAAAGAAGACAAGGAAAAAAGTCTGTACATGTTTAGTAAAGATGCAAATTTTTTTCAAATATTTTCCATCTCTGAGTGGTCAAAGCCACTGATACAGATCCTGTGGTTATGGAAGGCTGACTACTGTCAGAGATAATGTTTCCAGTTTAGAAATGGAGAACATGGAGTTTATTTGCCCAGATTCTGTACCCAGTGGGGGCTCAATCATTGCTGCCAAGAGCTTGGCCTTCATTTTAAGGATCCCAAGGATCTGGTTTCCTGTCTTTTCTCATTTGGATATTTCTAGGCTCTCTGGCTGATATACTACCACTTCCACCTTATAATAAGGTCATTTACCTGCATCATGCTCGCTCTCAGTGAGACGCCACTCAGAGCTGGCTAAATTGTCTTAATGGAATATCAGGGAGGAACACTTACCCATCCAGGTCTGCTGTTTCTATGTATGTCAGACTGTATGGCTCACTGCTGGAGAGTAATAGTAGATCTGCCTGTGATTAGAAAAGTCAGAGTAGCTAAGGAAAGCAGGAAGGCAGGCTTTTAACATTATGGTGTGACAAAAGCAGTCCCTCAGGAACAGACATCCCTAAGAATTTTATAGACACCTGGTTTACTTTCTATGTCTGGGACCCATCACTGCTACCACACAGCTCTCTCAAAGCTACTCATACTTTGTCTGTAGCTTTGGGGAAGGATGGACAGGAATAAGTTTCTTACTCTAGGAGTTGTTGATCTCTGATGCAAAGTGAGGCAGACGAAGGTCACCAAGAGCAATGGCAGCAAAAGGGATGTAAGGGTCCCAGGATCCCGCTCAAGCCAAAAAATAAAAAGCCACAGCCAGAATAGGTACTCACAGGGACAGCCTGGTCATTTTTTAGTTTTATTATATCTCCCACTTGGACATTCATCCATTTGTCCTCCTTCACCCTGCAAGATAATGATCTTTAAATGTCTGCTCTGTGAATTCTCCAAAGCTCTGTTTTAACAATCAAGAAACAAAACATAAAACAAGGCTGAGATGAAAGAAGACAGGACCAAACTGGTTTGTGGTGTATCCTCCCTGCTATCAAGAATGGGACCCATTTCTCTTGACTTCAGGTTATAAACATTTCTTAGAACCCCATACACAGACATGGGGTCTACATATCATGCATGTATATGTAGACATACATGCACATGATTATTTTATTTTTTTTTAAAGTAGTTTTTAGTTGTCAATGGACCTTTATTTTTATTTATATGCSGTGCTGAGAATCTAACCCAGGGCTCACACGTGCTAGGCAAGCACTCTACAACTGAGCTATACCCCAGCCCCACATGATTATTTTCTAAGTGAAACAGAATAGTAAAGAATTTAGAAGGAAAAATTAAAGTCTCCCTTATCCACAGACCTTAGTTAGACTCCCTAAAGGTAGCCACTATAATTKTTCTGTGTGTCTTTCTTTCTAGAAAATCTCAACTCTGGGCTGGGGATGTGGCTCAGGCGGTAGCGCGCTCGCCTGGCATGCGTGCGGCCCGGGTTCAATCCTCAGCACCACATACCAACAAAGATGTTGTGTCCGCCGAGAACTAAAAAATAAATATTAAAAAAAAAAAGAAAGAAAGAAAATCTCAACTCAACTGGGCACAGTGGCACTTGCTTGTAATCCCAGTGGCTCAGGAGGCTGAGGCAGGAGGATTGCAAGTTCAAAACCAGGTTTATCAAGAGCGAGGCGCTAAGCAACTCAGTGAGACCCTGTCTCTAAATAAAATACAAAATAGGGCTGGGGATGTGGCTCCGTGGTTGAGTACCCCTTAGTTCAATCCTCAGTACCAAAAAAACCCCCAAAACCCTCAAGTCACAAAATTCCATACAATATATAATCTAAAAGTTATGCATTAAAGACATAGCTTTCTGCACTTTGCATTTTTCATTTAGTAATATATCTTGGAAAGTATTTATAGAAGTATTTATTTTGAATAGCTAAAATATATTCTATCATATGGCTATACAAATTTTATCTTTTTAAGTATTTATTTCTTAGTTTTAAGTGGACACAATATCTTTATTTTATTTTTATGTGGTGCTGAGGATCAAACCCAGTGCCCCACGCATGCTAAACCACTGAGCCACAATCCCAGCCCTATACAAATTTTCTTTATGTTAAAATCATATTACCTTTGACTCTCAAAACCCCATTTTCCTGGCAGGTTCTACAATAATACTTCTTTTACTCCCTCATTTTTTGTGCTTCAATTTCCCCAACTGCATAGAATTTGTAAGTCCTGCCTTTCTGACAAAGGATAAGGAGAAGATATATATATGTGTGTGTGTGTGTGTGTGTGTGTGTGTGTGTGTATCCACAAACATTTGGAAACTTTAACTACCCCCTTAAATAATTCTATTATACCAAGTGCCCAAAGATTTGAGAAACAGAGGCCACATCTAGAAATCATTCCACAGTTCATCTCTGTAGACAGTCTTGTCACCTGTAGGCCATGACATACATCAGCACTTTGCCAGACACACAAAGCCATAGTTCCCATAGGTATACTTTTCTAAGAAAATCTTCTCTTTGAGAAGGGCCAAATTTCTTATATGTAATAAAATCCTTTAATATAAATTTCACCTTCATTTAGAGAATTTTCTGATACCACTGACGTGTAGTAGCTATAAGCCTTGGAGAAAGACAGCTGGGACTTGCTTTATTTWGTCTTGATTTGACATTTACTTTTGTGGGTTCTCTAGCATTCTATCTGCCATGGTTTTCACCAATGAAACACAAGCAGAAAGCAGGGATATAACTTTCTACTTTTCCTGGAAATTTAAAAATATGTTTACAGATAATAAAAGTGTGTGTTTATAAAATAAATTATTTTTTTGTGAGACTGGGGATTGAACCCAGGGATCCTCTATCACTGAGCCACATCCCAGCCCTTTTAAGAATTGTGTACTTTGAAACAGGGTCTTGAATTTATGATCTTCCTGCCTCATCCCCCCACTTCACTGGGATTACAGGTTTGTGCCAATGCACCTGGATAAAGGCTTATATTTTATTACATAAGGAGCTGTCAAACTAGTACCAATTTGTTCTTGGACATTATAATAACCATACATCTTAGATCTGGGAGAGTGGATAAATTCCTTACTGATTTAAAATATTCAAATCAGTAAGGAATTTATGTACTGATGCCATAAGTACATTTTTATTTCCAGGCTTTGCATTTTAACTTATAGTTTAGGAAGAATGGCCAGAGAGCTAGAGAAGGCGATGCTCTGACTTCAGGGGAGACCATTCACTTACACTCTCTGTTTTACATGAATGATACCTGTGGAGTTCTGAAACACACTGATACTTTCCAACAAATACTTAAAGTCAACACTCTCAAAAGCAAGGCTTTTTGGTTTTTTTTGTTTTTGTTTTCCCTTTAGGGGTGTGGCTGGCAGTGACACCTTCCCTGTCCCCTGTCCCATGCCTCAAGCCTCTCAGGCCCAGTCCTTCTCCTGCTCACTCTCAAAGCAAGGCTTTTCTTGCCATAAAGTAAGGATCCAGAAAAAAGAGAGAATTAAATCTAGAACTGGGAGAGTGTACTGAAGCTGTTTTGGTCTGGGGTGAGGAAGGGGATTTCTAGTTTTAACKATCTAGTAACCTAAGTTTTAATTTATCCTACAACATGGACAAGTGGTGAACTCTTATGATCTTAAGAGGTAGTCATTTGGAACTATAGACCCCTCATAGGGCTGGGACTGTAGCTCAGTGGCAGAGCGCTTGCCTCACACGTGTGAGGCACTGGGTTCGAGCCTCAGCATCACATAAAAATAAACAAATAAATTAAAGGCATGCTATCCATCTACAACTACAAAAAAAAAAAAAAAAGAAAAAGAAAAAGAATCCTCATGAAGTCAGAACCCTTAAGGACAGCAGCATTAGTGAAAGGGTGGCCTAAAAAGTAAACTGACCACAGGCAAGACAGTCTGCCTACCTTAATATGGAAGGTTGGGGTCAGTGAGTGGAGGACTCTCCCCTGAGAATCTGAATCCTCATGTGACATGGGGTTCATTCACCCTTATACTTTTTCCAAATTAGGTCCTGGCAGATGAAACCACTGAGTCATCTGACAGAAGCAAACATAAAACCCTTCTAGAATGATAACTCAATTTACTTTTGTCAACAAAATTATTGATAACTGAAAAATGACAAAAATCTCAACTTGCTAAAYAGAGAAGCTTTTGCAGTAGCAGCAATGCTCAGACTCATATTCTAGAAAAAGAAAGCTGCTTTGAAAGCTGGACAGCTTCAACAATGAGCCTCACCTCTGTGTATAAAATTCATCAGATTCTCGTTGGATACAGAGTTTAACCAGGGCCTTGCTAATTAACTTCTGCCCTAAAATAACTCCATGACAAATTTACCTCCAATAATCTTATAAAATCCAAGGGCTCAAGCTACAGTGTTCATTTGACTAAATTCATTTGGTCAGCAACTCCCTTGGCTAGTTACGAATGCACTTCAGTTTTGCTTGCTTGCTTGCTTGCTTTCTTTCTTTCTTTCTTCTTTCTTTTTTATTTCTATTTTTCTTCTTAATTACAACACGTCCTTTTTGGTGTCTTTTTTTTTTTGTACCAAGATTGAACTCAGGGGCACTCTACCACTGACCACATCCCCAGCCCTATTTTGTATTTTATTTAGAATCAGGGTCTCACTGAGTTACTTCGTGCCTTGCTTTTGCTGAGGCTGGCTTTGAACTTGCAATCCTCCTGCCTTAGCCTCATGAGCCACTGGGATTACAGGCAAGTGCCACCATGYCTGGCCATTTTTGGTGTCTTATGGGAGATTTCAACAGTTCTAAATACTCAAGGAAACAATMTAGTGTAAGTAAGAATCAGAAGACAAAATAAACAATAGGATGAGATGCCTAGAACACCAGATGACAGAATTACATGATAAAAATTACAGATACAAGTGAGCTGTAAGGCCACCATGAGAAAGGCTGAACCTCAACCTTGACTTCCTTCAGGTTTTCACTTTATTGCAGTTGTGCTTCTGCTCATGCTGGCCATTCTTCTTTTCACACAATCCCTTTTATTGAATTCTTCCCATTCTTCAAGGTCTGGTACAGATATCACCTCCTCCAGAAAGTCTTCTTTGATTTCTTTTGCCAGCTATGATTATTATAGCAATTTGTTATACCTCTTATGATATCTTCATATTTTGCCTTACATAGGAACATGTTTGTCTCCTTTCAGTCTTGCCAACACTTTAGGTGCCTAAGACCAAACACCAGAGCAATGGTGTTGACACAAATACTTCTTTAGACTGTTAATAGGAAAGATAACCTGACCAAATCCAGTAATGTTATAAACTCAAATGTCTTCTTTCTAACCATGACACTGATAATAATCACTTGTATATTTAATATCATGTTATAACATATGAATTGCTTTAATATAAATTATTTTTCCTTCATCTTCTAAGTGAAAAATATTATTTACACTTTAAAGAGAAGAAAAATGAGTCCCAGAGACATTYGAAGTAAGGTGGCAAGTTAAGGGCATACTCAATGACATCTAGAAACAAATTCCTTTTGTGCCAATCTGAGGTTCTTTTCACTGTCCTGAACTACCTTTCCCAAGTACCCAGGACATCACACTTTAATAAGGCTGACCCTCTCTTGGGACTGGTCCTACCTAAATTGGCTTCCTTAAAAAAACGTACCTGCCATCTGCCAGCAGCAGAACAGAACAGTTGTTAACTTGATTGTCACTTTGGTGCCTTTTCTAAAACCACACAAGAAGATGTTCAGGAAACAGATATATAGAACTGCATGTAAAATTTTAACATTTTGAAATATTACCCAATATATATATATACCCTCCTTTGTAATTTCCCTTTCTTCTATTCCAAAGCACTTTCTACCACTAAAATCAGGCTAAGAACCTGATGCCACGTGTAAGCTGAGAAGGAAGGTCAGAAAAATTACCCGGGAAGAAGAAAGACAAAGGCCAAAGCCTGGGGTAACTATATCAAAAGGCACAGAGGACAGAGTATACAGAGTACACAGAGTGACAGGCAGAACTAGAGAGTCCCATATGCCTTGGCAGATGCAGGAAAAAGGAGTGTATTGCTAAGCATACTCCCATCCCTACCCCAACTGTGGTCGACATACAGAAACTTCTACAGCAGATGGAATGAAGAAGGAAGCTGATATTCAAAGTCCAAATAGCAGGAGAACAAATTTAGGCTATATCCCAGTGCCAGGACTGAAAAAAGGGCAGGASTGTGCAGGGGGCAGAGAGAATCCTGAATTTGTTACAATTCATAATTGTCCAAATATTTATCCTAAAGAGGTGGTTCTAAACCAGAAGTAGCTGGATTACCCCGAATCAACAACTTTTGTTTTGTTTTGTTTTTCCTGGAAAGAGTGGGGTGGGATTTATGAGTGGTTATGAATTTAAATGAGTCCAATTATAGAGAAATAGTTACATTTTTTGCACATCTAAGTTGTGACTAAAATTTAAACCATCAAATGTGCTAAGCTTGGATTTTACAATTAAAAAGTTGGAGAAACAGGCTTTCAAGCTTTGGTCTGAAAACCTAGATAGGCAAAATCAGGATTCTCTTGGGGAAATTGCAAGGATCGACATCCTGAATCCCCCTAACAGGTGTGGGGCTGGGTTTTCCCCCTAGAAGCATCAGCTGCGAACCATTTTCTCTCACCAGTTAACTTGATTAAGGAAAGGAGCTGTGTCTGAGGCTTTCTAAACTAGAGGGCTCCTAGTTGTGCGTGAATAGAACTGAAAGCTGGAAAGGAAATAGGGAGAATTGGAGAGAAGGGAAATGTGGAGGAGGAGAAGAACGAGGAAAAACAGGAACAAGGAGGAGCAGAATACTGGGAGGAAGGAAAAGAGAATATAAAATGGGAGAAGGGGGCACAGAGGGAGAAGGATGAATGTGAAACCAGAGAAAGCTAAAAGTGGGTTGAAGGAAGAGTGAGGGAGTGGCAGAGCCAAAGGAAGGAGACCTGGAGGAGGGCTCAAAATGATGGCAGCCCGAAGGCAGAGAAAGGCCTTGCATTGTCCCTTTCTGGCTGTGAAAAGAGAACCAGCCTTAGGCGGATGGGAATTACATATCCTTCTGAGATACATAAAGAAACAAAGAAGGGAAACATCTTTTTCCATTCAGTGCATCTTGGCTTGAGATACTTCTGGGAAGTTTTATTGCCCACAGCCTGTCGAGCTACAGTGAAGAAAGCCCAGGAAGCCACTTCACCAAGTCGTCGATGGCATCCTTCACTCCTGTTATGGACAGCACCACCACCAGAGGTACCACAGTGGTGTACCATGCCAAGGAGGAGATCTGGGGAATCAACTGAGAGAAGGAAAAGGAGAATCTTGGGTCAGAAAACTTAAAGGACAATATATTTTTCCCCAATTCCCTACCTYCACCAACATTTTCACTCCCTAAATTCATAATAAATCCAACTATCCTGTTGCTTTCACTGTTTTAGTTTTCCTGTAACCCTCAGGATATAAGTAAACATTTCCCAAGGGAGGATAAGGAAGGAAAGACTGTCAGTAGCTACCAATCTGTTCTGAGCTTCACAACCTTTGTCCTGATGGAAAAAGGCCAGTTCTTTTCTGATAACAAAGGATACTGGAGTAAGAGTGGGTGGGGAACCATACACTCTCCCACACCTCTTCCACACAAGGAGACCTCAGATGATCTGTCTTCTGCTCTAATTTGGCCTACCCTATGCTGCTTTCCTTGTGCTCGCAGTCTTATATTCTAAATAATCCTCCTTCCTCAGACTCCTACACATCAACTTCCTGTTGTGGAGTCTAGGATGAGAAAGAGGAATAGTATTGCAGTTGGTGTTGGGATGGAGAGTCTGTGGCCACCTATGGTCTAGGTGAACTGGGGCCATGCAGTCGTGAGGAACCCCCATTCCTTGGAATTTGGTGACCTTGTCTCCCTCCTGCAGAGGGTTGATTCACATTGGCTAATCCTAACCTTAGCTATTCTAGGGGACTAGCTTGAGTTACCAGCTGTTCATTTGCCTCTGTCTAAAGAGAGAAGATATCCCTCAGTTTAGGGACTGATTATACAACCTGACCCCAGAAAAGTTTATGAAACACCATGGAAAAGGGCCCATGAGGCAATACCTGTAGAATTAGCAATACCAGGAAATAGGCATTTGCAAGTCTCTGGAACTGTTCAAATAGGTTCAGGGGCAGGAAGTTCAAAATAGTATATTTTGAGGTCTTGATGGCATTGTTCTATGAGTAAAAACCAAAAACAACAACAACAACAAAAATCATGCACAATTAGAGAGACAAATGACAGCTTAAAACTGGGTTAATCTATTTGTTCATTCAATATTCAGCACTTATTTATTCACTATTAAATATTCAGCATATATATTATCTATGTGCCAACTTGGGGGCAGGAACCATGAATACAGAGGTAAATGAAACAAGTCCTTTTCAGCTGCACAATATTTMTTCTGCATATTTACCATAGTTTATTTAAACAGTTCCTTGTACATGGACATTGTATTGTTTTCAATCTTTTATAATCACATGGAGCACAGTTTCTTGGAGAAACAGAAGCCACATTTTCACAATGCTATGACCAGCATGTAAGGTGAATTTTATTATGCCCTTTTTAYATATAAAAGAACTAAAGGTCAGAATGACTTGTTTTAGTAAGGAAGCAGAACTGCATTGAAACTCAGGTCTGTATGATACCAAAACTTACTTTTATTGTATCCTACTGCTTCTTATGTAAGTCTGGGCAATAGAGAGAGGGAAAATCCTGCTCCATTGCACCACATTGAACATTATTATCAAGAACCACTCTCAGAAATCATAAACTAACATCCCACATAAACTACAAACACACACACACATATATAGTGTTATACACATGCATTAAATAACATGTATAAAACCWTTGCTTATACTTATAAAAGATTGAAAGTGTTTAAATAAACAGTGGTAAATTTGTGGAAGAATTCTAAGCAGGTGAAAAAAGAAGCTGTTATAAGATAACTATATTTATATGGGTTTGTCTCTGTTTCTTCTATTCTGTTCCATTGGTCTTCATGTCTATTTTTGTGCCAATACCATGCTGTTTTTGTTATTATAGCTTTGTAGCATAATTTAAAGTCTGGTATTGTGATGCCTCCTGCTTTCCTTTTCTTGCTAAGGATTGATTTGGCTATTCTGGGCCTTTTATTTTCCAAATGAATTTCATGAATGCTCTATATTTCTATGAAGAATGTCAYTGGAATTTTCACCTCTTTTGTTAGATTGATTCTGTATTTTTTCTTTTTAGGCTTTTGTGAATGGGATAGTTTTCTTAATTTTTCTTTCAGCTGATCCATCACTGGTATATAGGAACACAATTAATTCATGGGTGTTAGTTTTATATACTTTATTTTGCTGAATTTGTTTATGAGTTCTAGAAGGCTTCTTGTGGAGTTTTTTGGGTATTCTAAATATAGAATCATGTTATTGGTAAACAGGGATAGTTCTTTTCCTATTTGAGTCCCTTTAATTGTTTTCTTTTGTCTAATTGCTCTGGCTAGAGTTTCAAGGACTATGTTGAGTAGAAGTGCTGAAAGAAGGCATCCCTGTCTTGTTCCAGTTTTTAAGGGGAATGCTTTCAATTTTTTTTTCATTTAGAATGATGTTGGTTCTGGCTTTAACATATATAGCTTTTACAATGTTGAGGTATGCTCCTACTATCCCTAGTTTTTCTAGTGTTTTGAGCATGAATGAATGCTGAATTTTGTCAAATCCTTTTCTACATCTATTGAGATAATCATGTGATTCTTATCTTTATGTTTATTGATGTGATGAATTATGTTTATTGATTTCCATATGTTGAACTAACTTTGCATCCCTTGGATGAACCCTATTTGATCATGGTACACTATCTTTTTAATATGCTTACAGTTATCTCATCCTAGACAAAGGCATCATAAACATACACTGGAGGAAAGATAGCCTCTTCAATAGATGGTGCTGGGACAACATCATGTAGCAGAATGAAATTCAACCCCTATCTCTCACCYGGCACAAAACTCAACTTAAAGTGGATCAAGGTCCTAGGAATTAGACCCATGACCCTGTGCATACTAGAAGAAAATGTAGAGCCAACTTTCCATCATGTCAGCTCAGGAACTGACTTCCTCAGCAAGACTCCTAAAGCACAAGAAGTAAAATTAGGAATCAATAAGTGGGATGATATCAAACTAAAAAGCTTCTTCACAGCAAAGAACCAAGAACATGAAGAGAGACCCTAAAAGATGGGAAAAAAGCTTTGCCACCTGCATTTTATCTACAGCATTAATCTCCAGGATATACACAGAACTCAACACCAAGCAAACAAATAACCAATCAATAAATGGGCAAAGAAACTGAATAGGCACTTAATAGAAGAAGAAATATAAGTGGTCAGTAAATATATGAAAAAATGTTCACCTTCTCTAGCAATTAGAGAAATGTAAATTAAAATTACACTGA